CATGAAGATGACAGAGTGTCTGAGAGATTTGAATGAGCAGCTCTTAATCATATGATCTTCAGCTTCACATCTCAGGCACAGACCTTGCTCTCTTCATTGATTAATCTTTGTCTAATTTATCAATTTGACATGATGAGTGCTTGGGGTCACAGCATCAGAAGAGAGATTCATCAGATCATCAGTAGAAGCTTGAGACTAGTTTCATTGATCAAAGACAGCATGACAAAGTAGAGAGTGTGAATTAGACATTATATGATCTGAAAAAGATCTGCTCTTACAATATTTAAATCACTGTCTTAAAGTTTTAAGCTCAGAGAGTTGATGATTAACTAATCTAAGCTCTTTGCAGTAATCCTCATAGAGAGATGATTTTCTTACACCTATCATGTCTTCCCTCAGCTCTATGCTTAGTGTGGATTTCAAATATTCTTTTTTAATGCAATCATCTCATCTGTGATCACCAGCTTCCAGCAGTAGCTGATTAAATTCAGACAGAAAGTCAAAGAAAGTTCTTCTACTCTGTTATAGATTGTTGAGCTTTTGTATAGCCTTTTTCTGTTATGCAGAATCACTAAAGAGCATGTGTGTCTGCTTCAATAAGCTCTCTATTATGAAGTTGATCTTGTTCTTATTATTCTCAACTCAGGGATAAACTCAAGCTACTGTCATTTCTTTCAGTCTTAAGTACACATATCAAGCACATTCTTCATTATTATATAAAACTTTCTCATTGATTTTAAGTTTTGATTGAAGCTTTAGCTCTCACTGAGAGTAGTGCTCCAGATTAGAATCATCATACTTCTTACAGTCCAGTAGCTTGATCTTTGATCTTCTGACTGCAATAAGTGATTGCAGATTTGATTGAAAGAGAGTTAATGTTGAGATGTTCAAAGCTTGTCATAGATTAGCTATTTCAGCTTGCTGAGCTGCTATTAAATTTCTGTTCTTACACTGGACCTGTTTCTGCTATTGAAGAAAGATCATTTATTATTGTTCAAAGCTGCTGTAGGCATCTTTGCTCATTGCTTCATGTTGATTCATTTATGTATTTATTGTACAAGTCTGCTTTTTTATCTCATTCAGCTAGATGTTTTCAATGTTGCTCATTCATTTGTTAGCATGATTGCTAACCCAGTCTATTCATATATCAGTGCTATCACTGAACTTTGTGATGTAGGATTTAAGACTCTCAATAGTCTATTGTATGTCAGCATATTTGCTGAGCTTCATGATACAGAATTAAGACTCTCAGTGGTCTATTAATGAAAGAAGTGAAGCAATTCATAATGTAGAGGATTAAGCTCTAAGAACTAGAGGCTAGTCCTCCTATATAACAAGAACAAATTGCTTGGGAAAGGGAAGAAAAGAATGAGATGAGAACATGAGCTTAAGCAAGCTCACATAGCATGATCATGTGCGCATGTGCAAATGATGGCTAGGCTGAGTCAGCCAGCCAGAGCGAATCTAGGGGTTCAGCCTCTTATAGTGATTCACTCAAGAGTGGATTATATTAACTAGTTAAATTATCTTCAAATCCTTTCTTAGAAATGTCAGGTGACATCTATGAAATTCTACTAGTCCTTAGTTCAGTATAGACTTTGATGATTGAGTTTTTTTGCCAGGTGATTTAACAACTTTTAAACCTATTCACTTTAACATGCAATTATGCTATTAATTCAATAGAAATACAAGAAACTCAATATAGAAATAAAGAGAAAAATAAATCCATAATTTTCACTTTCAAAAAATAAGAAATACTTTCAATTCATAAAGCTGTTTGTTTATATAATATTTTAAACTTTACTTTTTTTCACTAAATGAAAAGTCAGTTTTTATAGCTAAATAATAATTAGTTAAGTTTAAAGAAAAATTTACTAGTTCAATAAATTCTATATTTGAATAAAAATTACTTATTTAATTTAATATTTAATTAAAAATATAATAAATTATCTTTTTAACTTATAATATTTTAATTTATTTCTTTTTTGTATTGATATAACAACTAAGTTTATTATAAGTTAATAAACACTATGTAAAGCTAGTTTATTGTAATTTCAAACGCTATAATTAATTAAAGAAATATAAAAATAAAAAATTTATTTAAAAATGATATATATGACTTTGATGAAATTCAATTTGCAATAGAACTGAATAACTATAATTATAAAAATTATTATTAATACTAAGTATTTATAATCAGATAAAGTTTTTATAACTTAAAAAGTATAAATAAATAATTATAATTAAAAATGTTAATATGTTAAAATAAGTTTTATCTTTATATATTTACTGTGAATGAGAAAGAAAAGGAAATATAAGATCTAGCTGCTGAATTCAATTGAAGGGGGTTTAACTAAGGAGAAACCCAGGATTTTATTATTCTACATGGTATGCCTGTGGAATAACCAGTTAGTCCGCACCAACTCATGAGTTTCTACCACGGTGCCGCAATTGCAATACGCTTGGACATAAAAGAATTTACTGCTCTAATCCTGTAATAATTTAATTTAATTTAGTTGTTGAGTGTAGATAATTTGAATTAAAATCTAGTTAGTTGAGCTTCAATAATGTTGATCATTAGCTCGGTAGGTGATTCACTCAGTCGTGAATTACGTTATATCCATGGGTATAAGATAGATCAAGATTAAGACGCAAAGAAGATTATACTATACAAATGGTACCCAACGTGAACCGGGAAAAATACCCGCAAATACTCATCACCTGCTAACCCTCACGACTCACTCTAGAAATTCAAGAGAGATATAAAACAAACATCCTGATGCCAGAACTATAGGGGAATCATGTTAAAATGATGTCGTACCCGTCTTGTTGAATATGGACCCTGTCTGCATCGACTCCATATTTACGACGCACCAGCTCAAAAATCACAAGACCAGCACTGGTGCTCGGCACCTGACGAACAGCGCTCAAGAAAAAACCCCCGAAGAACCACGGACGCCAACCTCCCGCACGCAACGCCCGCAGTTGACACCGTCTATACAGCTCCAGGTATGCTTCATAGTGGTACTTCATCATCTTCCTTCCAGAATGATCCAGCTTAGCCATAGCATCAATATGCTCCAAGCGTTCGTAGTAAACGTTCTGCACCAGGGTCAGGGGATGCTGTACAAGCTGCTGTGCAAGAGACGCGGTAAGACCTGCCAGCAACAAGAAACACGGCTCTAGTGCATAGTGCGGTCGGATACGTGGAATATCTACACTTTCGGTGCCCAATGATGCGGACAGTTTCTCGACTTGGTAAGGCTGAAGTGAACCGTAGCAATACGTGATGAAAGAGTAGTATCCCTGAGCCTTGATGGTTTCGAAAACGCCGAAAAACAGCGCAGATCCGAAGGCATCCTTTAGGAATGACAGGCCCCAGCCGGAGAAAATGCCCTTGACCCCGATTTCATGTAGCTTGTGCTTTCCATATTGCCATACGTTCCTGTACTGCCCGTTTACCATAACATTGGTGTCAAATCGAACCTGTAGCGCGTCTAGTGGAGCTGCAATTACAGACTGTATACCCCCAGCAGCAAACCCGGCTGTGAAGGTCAAGCTTGGCCCCGGTGGTGGGTATACGCGTTTGCTCGCTTGTAATGCGGGTTCATGTAGTCCGGCTAATATTTGAAGGTATGAAGTATACAGAACCGCCCCAACTCTGTCACAAAGATCATTGATATCAGTCAATGTACTGTCCTTGCAGTTTTCCAACAGTTAAAAAATTCAAATCGTTTAAGTGGTAACCAACCCAACGTTTGCCAGGAGTGGAGGAAGGACCTGGTCCGGAATGAAACGCCAGCCATAGGTGCGGACGGCGTGCGCAAGAAGTCCCGGGGTTGTAGAATGCCATGACCAACCGCCGGCTGCGACTCGCGGGTTAATAGCTTTGGCTAGAGCCTGCTCAAATGTTGTTATTCAGGTAATAGCAGTTGTCTATGACTCTAATGCGCGCAAGCAAAAAAAGAAGGGTAGAAAGGGAGCCTGTACCATATAGCTACACAGAACATATATTGTCAACAACCATAAAGGCGCCGAATAGTAGACAAATACAAATAGTAACACAAAAGTCTGAGATAACAATCACCTACTCCACTCGTGTACGAAAGAATGCTTTGGCAGGGGCCCTGAAATAGAAAGCCACGGCTTGCGCACTCAAGGCGCGAACACTGGCAGCCGAAGCGCCAGTTGTTGCATTGGTTCGGGGTTTTCGGCGGGCCATGTCTTCTGAATCAGGGTCGGTCGAGGGTTTCCCATCAAAACTGGTACTAGGGAAATCACCGGAAGTAATGGACATGGTTTTCGACAGGTGCGGTTGGGGACAACGGCTCCATGGGATGGCTGCGAGAGGTGCGACATAAAAAAAAATTTGGTTGGTAAGTGATTTATTTTTTCACCGACACCCACGTAGTGCCATCTCTGGAGAAAAATGACAAGATCATGACCACGTCTCTCTATATAGTGGTAGTATTATAATTAAGGAATGATTGGAGACGCCGGCAGGTCAACAGACCATAACGTGTACAGCAGACAGCCGATATCTCAAGATGGATGCAACAAAGATGTTTCTGTTCCTTCACTATTAATACGGAATATACGGAAGGTGTAACAATCCATCAATTAACTTTAGGTCACGATGGAGAGTGCAAACACAGCAAACACACCATTTAAGTCACGGGAACGCTAAGCCCAAGAGCGCCAGAGCGCCAGCGCGGCAGAATCCTCACCGACTTCGGGCTGAACACGCGTTCCTTCACGTCTTAACCTACCGAAAAGGACAGTGACTAAAGCGTCAACTTTCTCCAACGTCCGCTCTGAGATCATCCTTCTTTTTTAACTCCTCGCTTTTTTCTCAAGGCCCTCAGCTGCCCATTTCTCACTCAGCGCTACGGCCTCGTCTCTGTTTTATAGAATAAAGCACAATACTATTTTGCGCCTCACTCCTGCAGCTCATCACCTAGCTATCTTGAATCTTCCAGCCTCCAAGGGCTTTAGCCAACATGGCGGAAGAGATAAAAATCGACAAGGCGACGTTTTTCAATCGCCTCTCTGCTCTCTACTCGGCATGGAGAGCAGACAAGCGATCATCAAATCCTGTCTTTGCTGGTTCTAGCTCGATTGTGATTCTCATGGGGAAAACAGAGGAGGCAAATTCCTTTCAAAAGAATAATGCTATGCACGTAAGTGATGTGACTGCATGGTGGTGTCACTGGTGATTGCAAATTCCCGATCGATCTGACCAATTCCATCGTCTTGTCTAGTTCTGGCTGCTTGGTTACGAGTTTCCTGCAACTCTCTTCGTTTTTACAACGGAGGCAATGTATGTGGTAACGACCGCGAAAAAAGGTAGCGGCTAAACACTCTTCAATCACCTTTTTCTGCAAATTAGTTAATGGAGCGCTGACTGGAATCCATGATAGCGAAACATCTCGAGCATTTAAAAGGGGGGAAGATACCGGTTGAGATCCTGGTCACCACCAAGGATACCGACCAAAAGGCCAAGGTTTTCGAAAAATGTCTAGATGTTATAAAAAACGCTGGAGTGGGTGGCCTCTATACCTATTGGCAATATTCAGGTTAATCCTAACACACAATTTTCAGAAGAAAGTTGGTACCCTACCCAAGGATACCTCCTCTGGTCCATTTGCAGATGAGTGGAAACGAGTCTTCAGCGAGATCTCGAAAGAAGTGGAGGAAGTTGACATTGCTCCTGCATTGTCATCTGTTGCTTTCGCTGTGAAGGGTCCAGAAGAGCTAGTAAGCAGCATCTCTTATATCCGACTACGATAAAACAGCTCCTAATGAGATTTTTAGATATCGATGCGAAACGCGTCCCGCGCCTGCAGTGGCCTCATGTCCGAATATTTCGTAGATGAAATGTCCCAGCTTCTCGACGAAGAAAAGAAAATTACACATCGAGCATTGGCAGCTAAAGTGGATGCGAAAATCGATGACGCTAAATTTTTCAAAAAGCTTGCCAAACTCCCCGCTGAGTTCGATCCTCAGCAAATCGACTGGGCTTATGGCCCTGTTATCCAAAGCGGCGGTAACTACGATCTCCGGTTTACTGCAGTTCCAGATTCTAACAACCTCCATACTGGTATTATCATCGCCGGATTCGGTATTCGCTACAAGACATACAGCTCAGTAATCGCTCGCACGTTTTTGGTCGATCCCAGCAAATCCCAAGAGACCAATTATGCATTCCTACTCAGCATTCATGAGGCAGTTATGAAGGACGTTCGCGATGGAACTGTGGCCAAGGACTTGTATAATAGGGCACTTGGAATGATCAAGGCCAAAAAGCCAGAGTTGGAAAGGCATTTCCTCAAGAATATCGGCGCCGGAATTGGAATAGAATTGAGAGATTCCAACATGGTACTTAACGGAAAGAACAACAAAGTCCTCAAGAGCGGAATGACTCTTTGCGTTATGATTGGCTTTACCGATATTCAGGATCCGGATCCAAAGGACAAAAAGAATGAAACATATTCCATGGTGGTCACAGATACCGTTCGTGTTGGCGAAAGTGGGCCTTATATCTTTACGAAGGATGCAGGGGTTGACATGGATTCAGTGTCATTCTATTTCGGCGACGAAGAGGAGCCTCAGAAGCCAAAGGTCAAACATGAAGCTGCAAAGTCTAGCGCTATCGCGAGTAAGAACATCACGAAAACTAAACTGAGAGCTGAGCGACCAACACAGGTTAACGAAGGTGCGGAAGCCCGTCGACGTGAACATCAAAAGGAACTGGCCGCAAAGAAGCTCAAAGAAGGCTTGGAGCGGTTTGCTGGAACTACGGGAGATCAGAATGGAACATTACAGAAAAAATTCAAACGATTTGAATCTTACAAGCGAGACAACCAGCTCCCAGCTAGGGTTAAGGATTTGACTGTTTACGTTGATCACAAGGCTTCAACAGTGATCGTTCCCATTATGGGCCGGCCCGTCCCTTTTCATATCAACACCATCAAAAACGCAAGTAAAAGCGACGAAGGGGAGTATGCATACTTACGCATCAACTTCCTCTCTCCCGGTCAAGGAGTTGGTAGGAAGGATGACCAGCCGTTCGAAGATCCATCCGCACACTTTGTAAGGAACTTGACTCTGAGGTCAAAGGACAATGACCGCCTCGCCCAAGTTGCACAGGACATCAGTGAGCTTCGGAAAAATGCTCTGAGACGCGAACAAGAAAAGAAGGAGATGGAAGACGTGGTTGAACAGGATAAGCTTATTGAAATTAGAAGTATGAACGCTTTTCCTTGTCCATCTAGCTTGGAATTTTAGCTTGGATTTCACTGACCTAATCGTTCAGATCGCCGTCCTGCGAAACTTCCAGATGTGTATCTTCGACCGCCCTTGGATGGCAAAAGAGTACCAGGCGAAGTCGAAATTCACCAGAATGGTCTCCGATATCAATCCCCTCTGCGTAGCGAACATGTTGACGTTCTTTTCAGCAACGTCAAACATTTGTTTTTCCAACCATGTGCACACGAAATGATTGTTATAATCCATGTTCACTTGAAAACTCCCATCATGATCGGTAAACGGAAGACCAAAGACGTTCAATTTTTTCGGGAAGCTACGGAAATGCAGTTTGATGAAACCGGGAATCGCAGACGCAAACACCGCTACGGAGACGAAGAAGAATTTGAGGCTGAGCAAGAAGAAAGACGCCGTCGGCTTGCGTTGGACCGAGAGTTCAAGGCATTTGCGGAGAAGATCTCTGATGCGGGCAGGGATGAGGGTGTTGATGTTGACGTACCATTCCGAGAAATCGGCTTCAATGGCGTTCCTAATCGCTCGAACGTGCTGATACAGCCAACCACGGATGCAATTGTACAGTTGACCGAACCCCCATTCCTGGTAGTGACATTGAGCGAAATCGAGGTTGCTCATTTAGAGCGAGTCCAGGTACGTTGATACACCCATTTCGGAATTTTGAAGTCTTAGCTGACAATCCATCCACCAACTAGTTCGGTCTCAAAAATTTCGACATGGTGTTTGTTTTCAAAGACTTTCATCGACCACCAGTTCACATCAACACCATCCCTGTGGAATCATTGGAAGGTGTCAAGGACTGGCTTGACTCCGTCGATATTGCCTTCTCAGAGGGACCCCTCAACTTGAACTGGGGAGCTATCATGAAAACAGTCACCAGCGATCCGCATGGGTTCTTCGTTGATGGTGGTTGGTCATTTTTGGGCCAGGACTCTGACTCGGAGGAGGAAGAGGAGGAGGAGGAATCCGCCTTCGAGATGTCAGACTCCGAACTCGCTGCTTCTGATGAAAGCTCTGAGGATGATAGTGAGTTCGATGACGAAGCTAGCGCAGAGGCCAGCGAGGCTTTTAGTGGTGATGATGATAGTGGCGGTGAAGACTGGGACGAGCTTGAGAAGCAGGCGAAGAAGGACCGCGAAAGCGCGTTGGATGATGGCGAAAAGGGGAAGAAACGGAAACGGTAAATTCGAATCCTTCGTCTAATTTCATCGCGAGATGTTATTTTATTTCGTGAGATGCAGGTAAACGCGATCGAAGCTTCGTCTGTATATTTCATTCTTGTTCATTGTTGCTGTTGTTTTTTCAAAGTCTCTTCAACATTAGGTCCGAGGAGAGAGATCTGGGACACTGGACAGGACAAAAGTGGTTTATGGATTAACACAATCTTTTATGAATGCTCTTCTATTTTGTTCTAGGTGAAGTAATTTGTGGGTTTTAAGAAAAGCTGTGATTTCTTCTTGATTAAATCTAGTTCCCCGAGTAATAATGATGATACCTTTCATTATTGAAGTTCTGTTCACTGGGGGAATAGTAACTACCCCATTGCAGCTCTCAGTCACATGGCTGCAATTTAAGTTCTTATACAGTAACCATTGTTTTGATCGTCATTTAAAATGATTATTCCAGGTGTGTCCCTGTACGAAGTTTTTGAATATAATAAGATTTGAGCTCATGCTCCTCAGTCACTGTAAAACGCGCCTTGTAGTTAAATTACCTCTAGCTATCATGAGATACATAAGGAAAGACAAGCAAATGAATGTAAGATAATATCCACAGCTGATAACTACTATTATTTTGTAAGAGTTAATTCAGGTAGTTCCGTCCAATACAATTGACCACATTATATCACTTCCAACATTCTCACTGCATCTTCTTAATCTGTCAATTACCTAAATATCATGCTTTAATACATTTTTTCGCAACTGGTAGTGAGTTATTTTCTAAAAGAAGAGGTATATGAAGAGGGCTATGTTTATACCCCTTCTGAGTGCTTTGAGCTTGGTGGCCTACATTTAGTAAATAGGAGATACAACAAGGTCTCATTCCAGCACGTTAATCATAGTCTACAGTATAAACTTAGTGATTGAGGTAGTCAAGAAGGCCCAACGCTACAAGCATGTACTGAATACTTTGTTATGTCCATCATGGTATAAACCGGTTTTTGTAGTAAACTGCTACCTATCTAAAAAGAAAAGAGAAAGAAAACCATAGAAGGCAAAACACCAATGTTAAGACAATATACAAACAAGTAGCCTAAACATGCATAATTTCAGACAGGAAACCAGTCGAGTTCTTCCACTTATGAACCAAAAAAGGTTTAAAAAAAAGTAAAAACATGAGGGAATATAAAAAGGGCAGAAACAAGGAACATTAGAAAGAGGGGACAAGGGGTGCTGAGCAGCAAAATCTCAATGCATCAAAACTCCAAATCCCATTATCACCAATGAACATCCCATCAATGATGAACGAAAATAGGAAAAACGTTGACAAAATTTTGAAGGAAAGAAAACAAATTTTCTACAATTAATCACGCCCTGCTACCAAACTGGGCGGCTCGCCCAGTTGCAGTAGCCGTGCTTGGCTGCTCGTTATTCCACGTCAGATATGTGTGATCACCAAGTTTCCTATTGAGCAGTGGCCAGGGTTAGCAGAGTGCGCATCTGATGGATAGATGGTGATATGTATAGAGAGGACGAACCGTGGCTTGATCAAATGCGTCAGAGTGAACAAGGCGCCGAGGACGATGCAAATTCCACCAACTACTACATATGCAATACCCATAAATGGGTTTCTACCGCCCATCACGGTATTTGTGGATATCACGATGGACTTCGTTCCTCCGTAGACGTTCACTGGGAAATCTAGCGGGTAGATATTTTGTCAGTAAAACGTGAGGCTGATGGAAAGAGAAGAGAGATGGGTAAGGGAGACTGTACAATCATCAATGTCAATTCGATAATTACCAGCACGCATGATATCATAGTCATTTCTCCTAGCCAGCTTGCTAAAGGTAGGCAAACCTGCAGTTCTCATCCATACCTGAAATTCTTCATCCTCATGCAAATCCGGAGGAGGGGCACTCTCGGTGTAGCCGAAAGGGTATCGTTTCCGCCAGTTAGGAGGAGGCCAAATCTGATCCGGCTTGTATTCTGTCTTCTTATATAATTCTTTGTCGCTGCTCCACGAAATTCCCTTATTGGTCATATTATAAAATTGATTATCTGAAATCCCAACAAGAACAGGTGACGAAAAGGTGTCGTTGAAAATAGAGTTCGCAATGAGGCCACAGGGATAATATGCCTTCTTGGTTTCCGGGTCAATCCGGAGCGGGTCACAGGGACTCCCACTTATTGTGCTATTCGAGAGAGCTTTGCCCTTGAGCTGGTCCAGGTCTAAAGACTTCACGTATCGCCGGTGGTTTTGGTAGAAGTTGGTGAGGCGGTAATAAAGGAATACCGATGGCTCCAGGTCGTTTGGGATCTCAAAAAATATGGAGCAGACAGTTGTGGGCAAGTATAAACCGCCCGGTATAGTTCTATTGACGCCATCTTGTCGCTTCCAATTTGGCGTATTAATTTCTCGGGAACGGAATGATGAGTGATATTTGGCTGGACTAATGCTGCTTGGTTGGCCAATGGGGGCCATAGAAGCGCAATCCGTGTAGTCGATCACAACTTCTTGGACCTATTCCGTAAGGTGAATTGTATCAGTGAGCAATCGGGAACCGGCGAATTCAAATGCCCCACCAAAAACAAATGGGACCGGGGCAAGTGCGTACTATAGAACTAGCCCATATCAGTAGCCCTCCAATCGGAGCAAATATGACTCCAACGATGAAAAAAAGGGGAAGAACGGTTTTTGGAGTTAAGATAGGCCTGCCGTAAAAACCACGTCAGCAGCATGTTCAGGATTACTCCGAATTATTTGGAGAAGTCGTAGGTTTCGAAGTAGAGTCCAAGGGCCAAAGGGCTAGGATAGTGAGAGAAAAGCCACTCACTGCCAGGCTTTCAAACGTTGTTGCCGGAATGCCGTGTCTGAAATCGTTGCAACGGGATAACCTTGTCAGCTGGTCAAGTTCATCCGCTGTTCATGCATATTTTTGCTACCTGGTAGCGGGGGAAATAATCAAAGAATATTGCGCACTTGCTGGTCTCCGACTTTTTGGCTTCTTCTCATCCTTGACATTGTGAGGATCCTGTTCATCAACCGAATCCTGTTCTGAGGGTGCCATGGAGGGTACGATGGGAGCAGCGCGGCTTAAAAGGAGGAATGGCGCGAAATGAATCAGGGGATTTATGGTCCAGGTCCACTAAGGAACTTGTCAGGCTTCAGTTGTGGTGCTGACTTTCTCCTCGTTGTTATATTTCCTCGTCTTCTGGCTCTGGTTCCGTTTCTAGTCCCGATGGTGCTCTATATGTTGGTGAAAGGACAGTGACGATGGTTGATTGATTGTAGTTATCGAAGGGAGGCTGACTAATAGCTTATTCATCCATCACAGCTTCCCGTGGGATCCCCGGTTTAATACCTCATACTTATCAAATTATATGTACCTTAAGCAAAGAAGCTTCAAATCAGGAAGCTACGCTTCTCTTAGCCATTGAAGCATATGAAATCAAGCAAATTTTATATATAGAGACTGCTGCTAAGACATATGATGCTCCTCCTTCTACTCTATGCAATTGATTAGAAAATATTACAATATATTCAAATACTTAACAAAAAATTTGGAAACTGATCTCTATAGAGAAAAAATCTCTTCTAGTTCAATAAATAATATTCATAAATGAGAGAGGACTGCCTCTTCAAATCATGATTGTATAAAAGATAGTTAATCTACTATTTATAAAGTAAAAATTTAAGTCTTTTAGTTCTGTAAAAGAAAATTAAATTAATAGATTTATTAAATAATATTCTAAACAATTAAAGATTAGATTCTCATATAAATATAATTATCAATAAGCTTTATATGAGAATATGAAGCTCTTATATAAGTAATTTAAACTGGTAAAAAATATTACAAAGATATATGAGAATATATTGAAAATTATATATAATTATAATAGATTAGATTCAGATTTCTGAAAATATAAGATTATATTAAGTACTATTAAATACAAAAAAATTTATTGAAGTGAAAAAAAAAATAAGAAGAGAGTAAGTAACAATATCTTCATGAGCATTTATAGTAAGCTGTGAGCTATATATTTATATAATTAATCATCAACTAATTAATTAATGTAATCAATTATCTATCAGATTATATCACTTATTGAATCATCTCCATCATATTATTTGATAAAATTTCAAATTAAAGAAATAACTATAAGAAATTTTATATAGAAATTATATAGAATATATATTTAGATCTGTTAAAATTATATAGTATTATGTTCAAATTTACACTTACTGCAGATTGAAAGTCTTTACTTTTTAGTTTTTGAGTTTAAATTCTCAACTTCTTTCTCTATATATTAATCAAACTCTTAATATCTAATAGTTTTATTTAATATATATTAAGCTGTTAGAATTTCTTTTTAATTATATAAAAATATAATTTCTCTCTCTTTTACTTCTATCTGATATTGATAGCTCTTAGCTCTATATTTTTTTTTATTAATATAGTAGTACTATACATCATCAGCTAATATCTCTGCTTTATTCTCTGACTATACAATAGATAACTTATTATCATTCTCAGGTTTAGTGATCACTTACTCTGACTATTGAGATAATTCTTATTTTAAAGTTAATTTTATCAAAGTTGTAAATATTCATTAGTACAATTTTATATTTCTTTATTATATAATTTATCAAAATAAATCATTCATATAGAATTTTTAAATTTTCATACTAATTTTATTGATAGTTACATTTATATAAGAGCTTTATATTTAGTTCAGAATGCTATTATATATAAATCTATTGACTCAATATTATTTTATAATAGTAGAAGCACTGAATTCATATTTTCTAAATAGTAAATTAATCATTTCTCATACAGTTATAATTCAGAAAGACTATTTTTTCTCACTTATAAAGATTATTCATTGAAGTAAAGATTTTTCTTTTGTAGAGATTAGTTTTTAATTTTTTAACTGGGTATTTATATGTGTGATTTGATTATATAATCTATAAATCAGAGAGAAATATAGTATATTATATAACTTAAAAGTAGCTTTAAAAGTTATAATTTACTGAGCTTTATAAGTTTTAATAATTAATAAATATCTGACTTTCTGATTAAAAGTCATTTCAGTAAAAGTGATTAATATAACTGAATTTTTTAATAAGTATAAATAATTTGAATGAAAGTGATCTGGTAGATGATATGATCTGATAGATGATTAATTAAATTAATTAGGTATATGTTTATATAATAAGCTATAGTAGACTGTAATAGCTTGAGAAGAAATATATAATTCTTTATAATAATTTTAACAAAATCAACTTTCTAATTCAAGTTATTATAATAATATTAATGTTTATTAAAGCTGAAAGAGATGATAGAATATTTTTTATAAAGTTAAAAAGAAATAAATAACTATAATTAAAATAGTTTATAATATAGATTAAGCTATCTCTTATAATTATATTAAAGAATAAGTTTTATTAATTCTTAAAATATAAGCAATTATCTAACGAGTTAAATAATTAAAGTAAGAAAAGTTGAATTATATATAAGCTTAATTAAATATAATTATAAAAAATATTTAATAGATATATTAAAGCTTATACAGTTAACAGATATAAATTGTTAATTATAAATAAATATGATAGTTATATCATAATTAAATTTGGTAAATTCTATCATAATTATTATATTATAACTTTTTATATATTTTTATATTCTTTTCATCTATTGCAGTAATTGAATATGAGCTATTTTTTATCATTAAAGAAACTATACAATAAGAAAATTGAATATAGTATAAGTATAATAAATATATCTTTAAATATAACTCTAGTACCTTTTTATAATAAAAAAATAAATTTATTAAAAGAAAAAAAAAAGAATAAAAGCTATAAAAATAAGTATAAAGTTTTTATATAAAATAAATAGAAAGAAAGATAATTTAGAACTAATTGAATAAGTAACTGAAGAATAATTTAGACTAAGAGTTTTTTACTTTTAAAAGATTATCATTCAAGTATTGATTTATTGCAATGAGATTGAAATCAATTATATTGATAAAAATAAATTTCTAATCAACACTATAGTAGTTAAATAGAAAAATATTATAATAATACTTAATGTAAAGATGTTAAGTGTTAAATAAAAGTGTAAAAAGCACTGTAATTAATATTATAAAAGAGTAAAAAAAATAGATATTTAGAGTATTGAGAAGTAAAGAGAATAGCAATAGATGAAAATATAAATATAAAATTAAGAAGTAATTAATCACTGAATCTTTTAGAAAAAGATTTATAAGATTTATATATATGAATAGATAATAATAGATTTTACTTTAAGTAATCTAATTCTTTATAGACAGTGTAAGGATAATATACTAGTATAAGAAGTTTTAATATTACAATCATAGAAAATTTTATAAAAAATAAATTCAAAGTTATAAACTTAATTTTATTTAATTTATATAAATTTTTTTACTTTAATATATATTAAATTTATACTTTTATACTATTATGATCAGTTAAAAATTTAATAAATTTTAATTTTGTAAAATTTTTAAAATTTTTAATAATATATTTATTTCAATTGAAATAACAGAGCAATCAGATTAATACTCTATAGATATTTTTTTTAGTTTTACATATCAAACTCTAAAATTAACAAGTTAAAAAGTATCAGCTAGCTATATATATAATATTATTCTTTTAATAGAGAAAGTTAATCAACTAAAAGTTATTGATATTAGATAAAAATGAAATTGAAAGAAATTATACATATATATAACTGAAAAAACATTCTAATAGCTTAAAAAATATTAGCTAAAATTACTCAAAGTATAATCAATCTACTGAGAAGAAAATTAATTTAAATCTAGAAATTAAAAAAAAAATTATTAGTTTATTATAAATATAATATTTTCAGATATTATATTTAAATATATTTATAGATTTAAGATTCTATTCTATATAATTATTTAGCTACTGAGAATTTAATTTATACTGTAATATATAATCTGCTCTTTTGTTTTATTTTAGATTTAAAAATTATTAAGTGCATGAAACTTCTCAGCTATTTTCAGTGCAAGTAACTCTTAACTGCAACAATTCAACTCAAAAATGTTATGAAAATCAGAGCAAAAAATTGTTAAGTTTCTCATTGTGAAATAGAGAAAAAAAGCAGAGATATTTAAGTTTCATATTAATGTATCTGAAAGAGAGATTGTCTTAAAAATACCTTAAAAAATATATTGCAAAAGACACAAATACAACTATTTTTTAAAATACTCTATTAGTGAATGAAATTTTTCAAAAGAATATTAATAGTATAGTTGAAATTCTTTTGATGTATTCTACCTGCCTTCAATGAATGATATGAGGATATTTTGCGTTGAATTGTATAACATGGATAACATGTCAAGCAAAACGGCTATTATATTCAGGTACTGGGTATTTCGATACTAGGGTATTCAGAATTTCAAATGCTAAGAATCAAATCTGACCATCCTCGCCACAAACCAGAACTCATAGTCATGAAGATGGGGGAAAAAAGAAAACAAAACAATAGAAAACAAAGAAGGAAAAAGAAAAAAAATAAGACATTATTAATCATTCTGAATGTCCATCAAGTCCCAACCTCTCAGAGAAAGGTCATAAAATGTGAAAACCATTTGCAGCAAGTAAAGTTCCCAACAAGAAAAAAACCGCCTCCAACGTGTGCCACCAAAAAATAAAGGGATAGAAAGCGGTATGGAAATGGAAATGCGCGTGGAGAACTCAAGTCTGGAATCGATACCCCTTCTTTCTAGTTCATCTCCTTTCACATTTCCTCCCCAATATCCCGTAAATGCAAACCAAAGAGAGGCGCCTTGGACAGCGAAACCAGAACCATCAATGACCAGCGCTATAAAAGCAAATGAACAAAAGCCAACACCACAATTGCCCCAGACCAACCATCCATATGCAGTGCAACCATGCCAAGGTGGGACAAGACATAGACCGGCTAAGACCTGATCCACACAACATAGCAGCAAGTTAACACCCGGAACATGAGACTGAGAGTTAAAAAATTGAAAACGCAATGCGAAGGGCAAAACAGCCCGTAAGCCCAGTATGCATAGATGTCTGAAACATAAGAAACATTCAATCATAGAAGAGACTGTAGTATACGTCAAAAGTAGTCCACATCATATAAAGCATTAGGGGGTAATCCATGCGACTCATTCAAAAATAGGAGAAGCGAGGGAGAGAGGTCGTGACAAGAATAATTTAGAGATACTGCCGAAAGTACTCCCTATTGAACCAGCCAACCTTTTCATACGCCGTCCACAACTTGCTCGCCTTATTGACGTCGATTTTGCAAGCCTGCTGGGCGTCAGTTTTGCGGAATTCTTTACCAATGCGAAGGGCGTTGAGACGCGCTTCAAAGATGCGTCGTTTGCTACAGAGATAGGTAGCGCACGATAGACGAAGGGTGGCGGCGAGACCCACTTCTGCGGGGTCGAGTTCGTGGCGATCTGGGTCATTTGTAAGATCCAGCATTTGTCCCTTCCAGTCTGCCTTCAATCCCTTTGTATTTCCTCGGAGGGTTTCAATGGAAGGGCAATAATCTGGCAGTGACCTGTAATCCGTATCATCACGATTGGTTCCAATGACTCGAGCAGGTTTCGGGGCTGGGGTGGCGATATCGAAAGAATCGTAGACTCGTTGTCTTGGGGTAGATTTGGGAGTACGCCGCGGTCGGGGTCGTGGGGCTCGCGCACCACTGCCGTTAGAAGTCCTCTTTGCAGGCGCTGGAGCGATCGTTTTTAATTTCATCACGGTCTCGTGGCCAACCCGCTTAGTCACTGACAGTTGTCGATCCAGGAATTCTCTCTCCTTCATGGCCCAGGCACCAGGATTCTGGTTATATTGTTTCCCAACGATTGGGACGCAGGACAAGGCAAAAATGTATTCTTTGCGAGTTGGCTTGTTCTTTTTGTCCTGGAATCTTATCATCTGGGTCGCCATGTGTTTATCCACCAAGCCCTCAGCGACCAGAGCCAATTGCGGGCCAAAGAGCGGCTCATCAGGTAGAATATCTGTATCGTTCTGAGGGAAGAGGACTGGGTCTTTTGTAGAAACAGCGATAACATCCCTCTCGATATGATCGTGGATATCTGACTTTTTCTTGTTCCCAACGTATGGGGTAACGGGTGGCGAGGGAAGATCCATCTCAGATTGGGTGCGTTTTCTGTCGGCAGAGATGGGAGGAAGGGTATTATTCTCATCGAATGAAGGCAGTTGCGAGTGGCAGGGAGACAGAGACTGGTTGAAACTGTCGAGAGATTTCATCTCTGGCGGAGACATAAGGCTTGATACCGGCGGTAGACGATTCATGGTGATGGGAATTCGATGATGATGATGACGATGATGACGACGACGACGACGACGACAATGATGATGTTGATGCTGATGCTGATGTTGATGTCTGTGGTTTGTGTGGACAATTTGGGTTGATGTGGATGATTTGGGATGATGGGGGATGACAACTGATGAATTGGAATGACGAAATAGGCCGAATTGAGAGGCGGGGCGGAGTATTTGAACAGTATCAAAGGAAGGAGTGTTCGTAGCTATTATTAAATAGAAGACGAGAAAAGAGGAAAAAGGTAATTAGAAGGAGAAGGAAACGAAGCAGTAGAAGAAAGTTAATGGGGAGAGAAGAGAGAGAGAGAGAGAGAGAGAAGAGAGAGAGATAGAGAGAGAGAGGAGAGACACCGCCCCCTAGGCAGAAAGATACACGGTACGGGCTGAGTTGGGTTCAAAGTTGTGGTTGTGTGAGTGAGTTGACTTGACTGCCTGACCAACAAACAACAAAGCGCCCCCTCCAACGAATTAGTCACTTGCGGACAAAATTAACAATCCGCAGTGGAAGTCAATGGAAGTCGCCTCTTGGCGGGTCTCCCCAGCAAATACGCTTATTTGTCAGACAGCCCTGGCTTTGTGATTTGTGATGGCGGGATGACGGGTTGGCCGTTGGTGGTTGGTTGGCTGATGGCTCGGTCCAAGGATTGACTCTGGATGGGTGGATGACGGTGGGTGGCGAAGGGGAGCCGAGTTCCAAGGTTGTTGGCTGAGAGGAAGTTAAAGAATACCAGGTTTTGTTTCTGAATGTTTTATATTCTTTGATGAGAGGGAGAGAAGAATAATACAGAGCTGATGAGAAGATGGTTAAATGTGCATTTTAAATGACAGCCAGGAGGAGTCAGAGCAGAGACGGAGACAAAAGGAGAATGAATATCAAAACGGGTCAAAAAGAGTGAATTGATAGAGTTTGTTATTAATAGCAACACTGGAAATGGGGAAGGCTGAGTAGCCCAAGTAAAATGCTGTAAGAAAAAAAGATGATGAGTGGACGAAGGGCAAGAGTCGTAAATTTCATACAGAATCAAACTGAGATAGATGTAGTTATAGAAGTGGATAATGATATTTCATGATATTATTCTTCCATCTTATACTTTTACTCTTATCAATTGCCTCTGCAGTTATCTGCCTTTTAAAACTTAGAACTAAGAATTCTTTGAGAGCAGTCATCTGTTTCAGACTTGAATGTTTGATGCATAATTACCATGAAGAGACAAGAGTATCTAAGAGTGGGTTTGCGAGGACTGCATTTACGATAATAGCTGATTGAAATATGTCCTTTCCCTTCAGTCAACACCTTACGATCAATTATACCTCTTATCGTCAACAACACCCGGGGTGGGGAGGAGTTGAAGGTTTCTTCTTTCCTTGTCCACTACTGAGTGAGCACTTTGTAGAGAGTTGAATAATACTCTGCAAGGCAAAAACAAGGCAAGATAACCAAACCCAGGCCCCAGCACATATACCTTTGTAATACAGCACTCCCCATCTCTCTCTTCATATGTCACCCGCTTAGGTATTTGCCAAACCTAGCAACAAACCTTGGAACGTGATCCCCGCAAGACGTGGTCATGCAGCGATTTTTGGGTCGCGGTCACTTGGCCCTTCTCACGATCATCACCCCACTCTTAGGGTCCCTACTAGGCGTCAACCACTATCAGCTGGCCCACTCCACAAACTGTAACCACCTGGCGAAGTCAATTGACCACCCACTCTCGTGCGTCTGCTAATTTCTCAAGTTGTGCCTCTTCGACCTTTATAACTTGCAAACTTCTATAGGGCAATACAGGCTGCCCAAGCATGAATTTGACTGGAGGTTCTGATCCATGGATTGAAGGGCCACGAGAAGGGTGTGTACGGGCGGGGTGTGCCCTGAAACGGGAATCTTGCCTGGGATCTGCCTTGTGGATCATTCTTCTGGAGAGGCTGGGACTGGGCCGCGCGTGGTTGGTAGGTTTGGTAGGGCTGCCAATTGCCAATGATTGTTCTTCAAGGTTCAAAGGTTAACTCAAACACTGCAGGCGTGATTCCGTAGGTCAGCCTGTGAGATGGTGTGGACTCAAAAGATGATCATGTTTAGTTTTATTTACTATGTAGCCAATCGGTTCTACCTAATGTGGGAATGGGTCACGTGCTAGGGCTGCTGTAACTACAGGCGGCCACGGCCACCCTACACGTGATCGGTATACATCGAACCTTTAATACTAAGAGATCAACTATTCCTATAGGAATATGGCCTGGAGACGCATGTTTTGAAGAATCTCGCGATTTTATCAAAATCAATGTAAAGAAGTTTGATCTTCATTCTGTACTTCAATTAAGAAAACTTATATTTTTTTCATGTGAAAATAGTTTATTTTAATCTATAAAGTCTTTTATATTTTTAGAATAAATAAAAACTCTAAATTAATTTTTTAATAGACTTTAATTTTAAAATAAAAAATATCTTTTACTTTTTACTTTATTTTTGATATATAAATTATTTATTTTTTATTAAAATTTTAAAATAATAATAATAATAATTATTATTCTTCATTTAAGATATATTCAGTCAGTAACTATAATATCTATTTAGTTAGACTAAAATTTAACTATTTAACTAATCTAAATAATAAAAAGCAATTAACTCATGTACTTATAGAGTTTCATCTCAAAATAATACAGCATTTAACAATCTTTTAATAAAAGACACATTTATAGTTTTAATTTTGATTCAGTCATTTTTTCAACTTAAATATAACAAGTACTAAAACAAAATCAAACAAATCAAAACAAAATATAATAAAATAAAATAAAATAATAATTTAATATAAAAGAAATTTTAATGAAAGTATTATTGAAAATGTTCTCAGCTTTTTTATAGATTAAATATCAATTTCATTTGATATTTATTTTCATTCTCTAGAGATGATTTTTATTTTCTCTATAAACTTAATTAAAAATTTTCTTTCTAATTCAGTATTAAACAGAAAGATTATATTTAATTAATTAAGTACTTTCCTTTTAATTTCTTTTTTATCTCATTATTTAATGAGCAATTCATTAATATATAATCTGAATTTTCAACTATATCACAGAAATCACATTTATCAGAATTCAAGAAATCTTTAAATTTTTCATATATGATTTAAAGTAGTCATGTTCAAGTTTCAATTATATTATAAAGGAAAATGTTTTCTTTCTGCATTTTATTGATGTATTTTTTCACTTTGATTTCATTTCATATTTTGCATACTAAGTACTTTTTTTCTCTTTTTCTCAGATCTTTGTTCATTTATCAAGACATGATTTTTTAATCTTTCTTTTAATATATAATTAGAATATAATTCTTTGAGTCATTTTTTAAGTTTCAATTTCAATCTTTGCTGCTAGATCTGCTTTTTCATTTTCTAGAATATCTACATGATGTTAGAAAGTGAATGTGAGCTGTCTAAAAGAGAATCTCTCTATGTTGCTAACTGCTATATAATGAAATATTAAGATTGGTGAGAAAAAAAAGATGTCAGAGTCTGCTCAGATTATAAACAGCTCACATGATCGTGTAACTGATTATAAACAATTCATGTGATCACATGATTGAATCATGACTGATCCGCTAGATTACAAATGAAGTGTGATCATGTGAAGGAGATAAATCTAGTCTCAGTGCTGAGTCTAATATCACCCTCTGATCTAGAAATGAGAATGCTTTCATGCTGATAGATTGTCATTATTTTCATTTTTTAGATAGTTGCCTGTCTCTCATGCTCTTACTCATTCATCTAGATGTTTCAGTGATTTGATCTTTATAGAGTTGATCTTATGAAAATCTTATATTGCATATGATGATTTCTTGAAGTTTTGAGCTGAATATCATAAAGAATTCTCATCAAATCTTTTTCAGTGCATCTGATACTGTAGCTTATCTCAGCTTATTCAACTGATCAGTATACAATCTATTTCTCATTCATTTCTCACTATTTATTTCAATTGAATCTGATAATTTAATAGTTTGATTAAATAAAAGATTTTTTAAGTTCTTATATAGCTTATCTGAAGAGAAGATTAAATAAATTTTCATTGTTGCAGAGAAGTTTAGTTTGTAGAAATTGCTCACTTTTTCTAAAATTCTGAAGAAGTTGATATTTTGCTCTGTTAGTTTATAGTTTGATTAATTCATTTTATATGATTTTAATAATAGATAAATAAAATCTTCTACTATAAAGTCAGATTTTTGATAATACTTGTTAATCTGTCTTTTCATCTATTTCTGTGCTATCTTTATATTTTTGCTTATTTGATTTCAGATCTTTCTTATTCAGTGAATAAAGTTTTTTACTGCTTTTTGATTTCTATTTTTAATTATATTCAATTTCTCTACTAGTGGTTATCAGTTAAATAATATTCATAATTCATATTTATTTGCTGTGAGAAAGAGAAAGATCTCAGTGAAAATATTTGAAGTAGTTATAAAAATATGATTTATAATAAGTAGTCACTTATCTTAGTCATCTTAATAGTAATTGATATAGAGATAAAGACAGATGATAATATATTGATTTATCACTTTTATCTATTCATCAGTTTATATATAATGTGCAGTTGAGAGTTTTAGTTTTATACTCAGAATTTCTATAAATTTATCTCAAAAGCTTAATATGAACTGAGGACTTTGATCAGATATGATTGAGTCAAACATATTATTATATGATTAGTAAAATTGAATGAATAATTGAATCAGCTTTTAGATCATAACTCTATAAATAATTGAAATAAAGATTATCTTCTTGCTTAATTAGCATACTATAATCAAAATAATATTATAATTTATTTTATTTTTCAATACATTTATGAAGTTCATTATAATATATTGTTATGTTCATTCTGACATTGATAATAACTTTAGCAAATTAAAAGTTTTATTTTTTAAAATCTTACTAATTCAATTTATATAATAATTCTGAATATAGTATAAAATATTTATTCATTAAATAACTTATTAATAATATAATTATATCAGAATCAGAGTTTTTTATTTTTCAGAATATATCTATTGAAGTTTGATTATGAATCTTCTATAATAGCTCAATTATCAGAGTTTTTTTTTTTTGAACAGATATCACTAGTCTTTTATTATATCATAGCATATTATTTTTTATTATATAAAAACTATTTTTATTATCTACTTACTACTGTATAGACTTAATTGAGATAATTATTTTATTTAAAGATACTGTGCATTTAGCAATATTCTCTTTTTCTAAGAAATTGATACTAGTAATATTTATAGAGAAAGTGATCTGAGAATTAAAAGTCTTTAATTCTAGAAAAATTTGCATATAGCTATTCTGTTACTTCTTAGTATACTCAGACCTGCTTAGCATATCTGCTAGTAAGTTGACTTTATCTGATTGATATTTAATTTCAAAATAGAAATAAAAAAAGAACTTTACTTAATCAGCTTGATATACATTTAGCTTATTAATAATCATAAAGTATTTTAGTACATGATAATCATTAAGAATCATGAATTGTTTCTTCTGTTAATTTTTCTCAAGCTCTGCTCATTTATTTTTATAAGATCTAAACTATTATCAGTATTTTCTTATTATAAATTTTATAGTTAAGTTTTATATTATTTATTAATTTTAAATAAAAGATTATTAAGCGTTAAAGATTATTTTTAAATCTTTAACTTAGTATTTTAATCACTATTCTGTCAGAGTTATCAGTTTCAATATAAGTTTTCTACTCAGAGTTAAAGTCTTCATCAACTACCTTTTCAATTTTTTAAAGACTGATTTGCATTCTAATATTTATATAAATATAGTAGTTTTCTTCATTAACTAGTACAGTAATTTTGTGATTTAGCTATAGATCTTTATGAATTGTTGATAGAAGTTATTAAATTCTAAAAATGACTAAATTTTTTTAACTATAATAATAGTCTATCATCTTACAATAACAATAGTCTTTTTTGAGTCTACTTCAATTTCTTCTGTATTGATAATAAACTCTAAGTATTTTATTCTCTGAACTATGAACTTATAATTCTAAATGCTAGCTTGTAAATTAGCTGTCTTTAGTTAGTTCAGTACTGAGTTTACTTGCTATTTGTACTCTTTTAAATTCTTACTATAAATTAGAAAGTTATTCATAAATACTATCATAAACTTGTTTAAATAATTAAAAAAATATTATTAATAAATTATTAAAAATAAATATAAGTATTCATAAAATTAAAGAGAATTATTTAATATTTATAAGTCTTATAGTAAGTTTTAAAGATAGTCAGATTCTCAGATTCAGAGTTTATTCAGATATAATAGAATTTCTACTAAATTTTCAGCTTTATAAAATATTTTATTCTGTTGAATTGATTCATCAGCTCATCTATTAGAGGTAAGAAATACTGATTTTATTTAATTATAGTATTTAGTTTATAAAAGTCAACACAGAACTGTAGCTTCTTCTCATTACAGGTAATCAGAATTAAAAAAGCATAGAAAGCTAAACTTGAGATGATAAAGCTCTTTGCTAAGTTGACTTTGAGATAGGTTTTCACTGCTTCTAGTTCCTTTAAATTTATTTTATATATATATATATATTTAATAATTTGAATAAAGTCAATATTAGGTTGAAGCTCTATTTTAAAATTAATATTTTTTTATAGAGAAAATAATTCATCTAATACTTTCTTTGAGAAGTAGTTTTCTCAACCTTTTAATCAATTTGATAAGTTGCTAATCAGCTTCTCATCAGATTTATTTTCAACTTTTATTAAACTTTACTTCTTCTCAAACTGTTTATCAATTTCATATAAAC